AGAAGATGACAGTACTACCAACTGTCGAAAGCGCTCGCAGATAATTAATAGAAGATATAAAGCTTCAAATCCTTTTTGTAGAATGTAATATTGAAATACTCAAAATAAAGGAAAATTAGTTGCATCAATCAATCACTTCATTTCTGAAGTGTCTCTTATAAGAATTGAATTTATTTTTAATCACATGGAAATAAATATTGATTTATTGTAACTAACCTCTAATTTGAAGTTTTTCTATTTCAGAGACCATGACTACTGTTCAAATCCAGAAAAGAAGACTGATATCACACTTTTTGAAGTGAAACCAGCACTAAACGACAGTGTAGACCATGATTATTGCTTTAGTAAACCAGAAGGTGTAGTAGCAGAAAAACCTTCTATCGAGGAACAGCCTGGAGCTTCAGATGTACAAGAGAAAGTTGAAGAGGAAAAAAAACGTAATTCTTCCAGCTCTAGCAGCGATTCAGATTCCTCGAGCTGTTCGTGTGGTTCTAATTGCAGCTGCAGCTCAAGTTCTGGGGGCAGTTCCAGTTCTAGCTCAGATAGTTCTAATAGTGATAGTTCTACTGAAGAGGGCAGGAAAAAGCAGTTAGCAAGACGTCAGAAAAGGAAAGAAAGAGCAAAAAAGATAAAAGAGGCAGAAGGTACTTCAACTTTTTTTTTACTCATATAAATTGACCGTGGTTAACACCATAGCTTTTAAAATAAATCGTTATATACAGGATGCTGTATATTTATCATTTTAGTAAAAAATTTTTTTCCTAGTCCCATTTAAAAAAAATAAAACTTCACTTAGATGGCCATGACTTAAAATCCAGATGTATTTTTCAATGCTGAACAAAATATTTTTCAACATAAGAGTACTTTACTCTTGTCTCATAACCAAATATTTGAAGGCTCCTCGTATATTACGTGTGATTTACTGTATTTTGTTAATGCATGTTTAGTTTTAGGGGATGCACAAACTTTTATCAAGAACAAATTTTTGTCGAAAAACCCTTAATAAATAAGTTTCCCATATGGTGCATACTTTGGGGATGACACTGTATGAGGTAAATAATTTTTTGTGCAGAATATAATACTTTGTCATCGATTTCATCAATACCCGGTGATGGTTTACTAGTGGTCTTGCTAATTATCGATTTAATCTTATATGGTGTTATCGGATTAAGAAATAGTGTATGTTCCTGTATTGGTGACATTGTTAATCTGCTTTGTTCTGGCTTAGAATATCGTACATTATTGACAAATAAGTCGTTCAGCATGTTACATATTTTATTTTTAACAGTTTTTATTTCACTAGAAACCATGAGCTGATTTACTGTGATTATATTTGATAAGCCCCTTTTTCATCAATTATTTTCTAGCTTTCTTTTGTTACATCAGATGAATTTTCCAGTCCTGTGTTATTGAATATATAGTTCGCTTACCTCATTTTCTCTGTATAGATAGTTTTCAGGTATTTTAGCATTCTCTAATGAAATGATATTAGTTTTTTCACTCATTCAATTTTTTTCAAGTTGAATGCTATATTGTAATGTTATGAAAGTGTATTGTAAAATTTCTTGAACATGACATTTACTTCAGATGAACTGAAAACTCGTTGCCATTGTTCAGTACTGATCAGATTTCTGAAGGTCATCAAATTAGAGTATGATATATCCCTATTCATATATCATATTTTCATATTTCAATTGAAATGTATGATTTGATATGTCATTACCTTTCACACATGTACTTTGACACCAAAGATTTAAAAAAAAATCAAATGAATGCAGGTGAAGCTTTAACATGTGATATGTGTATCACATGTATTCATGTGAATTCTTCAAAGTTTATTGAATCTCTTCTACTTGTTCATATTCATATCTCTACTCACATTGTAGTAGTTATCACTTGAATAGATGTCACACATCAACTCATACAATTTATCAAGAAATATTTTTACATCACTATCAGGTGTTCTATATAGATATACAACATATAATTTGAACTTCAAGTTTAGACAAGCAATTGAGTTTTTGAAATCTTTTTCGCTATTCTTATTGAATTCTAATAATTTTGCAAGTGAAACATAGTTTTCCTTGATATATGATATATGTACATATGATATATGGTATTCACTGCAACTTGAAACCTTATAGTTCAAATACCCAAATGTCTGATCATGAAGGATTGGTATGTATATTTTCTTTTCATTGTCATCACTTCCATAGAAATGATCATCTCCATTGCCATTTTCTTTCATGTCTCTTCTACAAAGTCTCGTTATTTTTGTGAAACTTTACTCTTCATTCATGTCAGTTTCTAAGTTAATGATTTTATCTGTTTTTGCATGATTTTGGCTTTGAGAAGATTTACAGAAATTTGTTCATCAATAGTTTCATAGTCCTTCTGGGTTTTGTTGCATTGCCACTTGTATCACCCTGTTTATGTGAAAGATCTTCTGAGTAATCATTTCTATTTTTTATCTGTGATTCCTTTTGGTTGTGAACATGAGCGTTTTTGTTTACTATTTTATTCTTATTAGCTTCGTTTTTTGTTCCCAGCTCTTTTTTAGCTGTTCCACCTTTTCTTCCAGGAGTGATTTGTTTTTTTTTGGAGAAATCTGATATTGTTTTTCGTACCTTCTAGGAGCCTTTTGAGGCATTCATTTTCTGCCATCAGTTTTCATATTTTTATTTGTAAACTGTAGACCCTAGCAATACTGATGTTATCTTCAGATTCCTTCAAACCATCATCTAGGGAAATATTTGTAGTGTTTCCTTCTTCTACCATTTTGTTTTCACAGCAAACTACATTTTATGCACAGCTGTTGTGGTACACTTTGTCATATTCTATACATTAAATTCTTTTCATTATATTTTTCTTGCAATAATTGCAGAGATCTTTACTCATGTCTGCTTTGCAACCATCATTCCATGGTTAAAAATATATCCTTTTCAAGAAAGATCTCAACGTATATGAAATTTCTGATTTGAATATGAGTACTCCATAACAAAGTTTGATCAATGAATAAACTTTTTTTATATATGATTTTGCAATTATTGCAAAAGAGAGGTGTATTTGCGTCATTAGGCATTAGTCTTGTAAATGAACCAAGCATGCAGACAAAAAGGGAACAAACTCAATATTCCATTACTTTGGTTGACATGAATCTCTCGATTTGACGTTGCAGAGGACCGAGACAGCTCTTTTTCATGTAAATAAAATAGCTTGCATGAGATGCTTAGAGCATACTGCACAAACTTTATATCCTACCTCCTTAGCAATATTTTTTATATAGCATCTAGAAGATATTTTTTGCATAACTGCTGTATTTGGTTGTCCATTTTGAGCCCTTTATCAGCATTCTGTTTCAAAAATTTTGATTGTTTTTTTATTTCTCCATTATCCAATTGAAATTAATCAGTACTTAGATATTTGGATAATAAGCACCACTAGGTTTGCGTCAATCCATTTTTCACACAACACAATATCAGAGTGTAAAATATCATGAATGGTATTTTTGTCAACTACATGCCAAGAAATAACGAACACAATTTCAAGAAAAACAAAGAAATTCACTTGTATAATACATGTTCTGAATCAAATGTACACCAATCTTACTTAATGCACATATTGAAAGCTATCATAGAGAAATATTTCAGAAATAAACTAGAAATATTCGTTCTACAGGCTCGTGGTTGTAATGTTCTGGTTCCTCTAATGGTGTAGTAATGAATATTACAGGAGTTCTATACCAACACCAAACCTTTATTTTTAACATTTCAACATGTGTTTCAATCACCAAGTGATCATCTTCATCGATAAAAATAACGGTTTGGTGTTGGGATAAAACTTAAGTAACATTCTTTTCTACTATGGCTTGTTTTTTTTAAGAAAGACTTTGATCTAGCTTACAGAATAAAAAATATATTGAGCTTTATTAAAACTGATAAAAACAATATTTCAGTGTCAGATAGATTAGGAGTATTTGAGTTGAATTGGGGTGCTTTTCTCAAACATTACGTTGGTGAAATGGGGAGGACTTTCTCCAAGAGAAATGAAACCATTGAAATCTTTTCTCAAAAAGAGGGGTATAAGTTCAATTACGACTTTGATGTATCACATTTGGAAAAAACCGGTTTGAATCTTAATATTTCAGAATGTTTAAAAACAAATAGATTCAAGAATTCGAATCATCTGCACAAAGAAAAAATAGAATTGCCTAATTACTAAAATAATTGTAGCTTTCAAACTTGCACAGAAAGAATAATCTTTTTATATTGATTGTAAATAACTTAAGTTTATCTCCTTACATTTGTTGACTGTAAATATTTATTATCAGTCAGTCTCTTATTTCATACGGGAATATGGGATCATCCTGTATTTTGTGCCAATTGTGAATTCTATTCTCGTTTTTGTTCAGGGCCTTAAATGAAAGGTTTGTTCCATTTTTTTTATTTACTCACTGTTTTTTTTTCTGCCATTTCAGTATGTACTTTTTAAAAATATGCTGTATGAACTGTGTTCCAGTCAGACAAGAGACTTGATATAAAAATAGTGAGGTTAATATAATTATAATTATTATAGTGATCATGTAATTATTTATATTCGTGCAAGTGAACTACTGTGAGAGTTCATTATATTATTTTATCAATTCAAAATGTCATATGTCAAAATATCCTGTACTTCAAATGTAAGAAAAAATTAAATAGATAAAATGAATACATATTGTATGTTATGTATGAAATAAAATATGTTTCACAAATCACCCTTACAATTTTTTTCTTATTTTCTAGCAAATAAAGTAGTTGATGTTGTGGCTACTGATGCTCTTCCAGTCATAATAGAAACTCCCATCCGGGAATCTGACTTGGATACAACAGAAAGTGAGACCGACGAAGAATTCTATGACGAAGCACCCCAAAAACTTGCCAAGAAATTATTAGAAGAAAAACGTCAACAGCTGCTGGACATAATGGGACCTAACAGTGTGCCCAATGGTACATTCATTGAAAGTACAAGTAGACCGCCTACTCCCCCTGCAGAAGTTGTTGAAGAAGAGAGAAAGAAAAAGAAATCCAAGTCAAAGAAACGTAAGAAGAAAAAGAGTGAAAGAAGAGAGCAAGAGCAATTGGTAAGTGAATATTTTGGTTTTTGAATAAGAAAATGAAATGCAAATGAAAAAATTGAAAAAATGTTTTGGATAGAGATACCCTAATCAAATAGCGGAATAAAATATACTCTATGATCTATTCTCACACCTAACAAATACACACAAAAAAAATTCATATAAATTGATCGAACCGTTTCAGAGGAGTATGACCACAAACACCGTGATAACGAGAGTACTATTTATTAGATGTATTTATTAGTATAAATTTTAGAACTCATCTTTAACATACTCTTTTATGTCACCCAAAATGAAACATTTCATTTGACAAATATAACTCTTGACATTATTTACCTCAAATCAATGGGGAAACAATATATTTAATTTGATTTGATTAATTAACAGGTAACACCCAATTAAATTCAACAGATTTTCACAATAAATTATATGAATACAGACATAATTACATCCTGACTTACTTGCCAAAAGTAAAACTAACTGATAGATAAAAAGTAACATTGACAAAATAATATGTTAAAATAACGGTTTGGTGTTGGGAAAAAACTCCAGTAATATTCATTACTACACCAAAGGTTCCAAACAGTGCATCATAGGTAAATATTTAATGAACAATGAGGATATGTAGATTCAAGAATTGAGGAAGTCAATGTTTATTTTCATTTGTAAATAATGTTTGAGATAGCGTAATTCAAACTCTATAGTTTTGTTTGGTGAGATGAAGTCCAGATCGACTTTATTACCACCAGTAGCAACTCTAGACAGGGGAGAGTGTTTGCCATAGTTACAATGATTAAAATCTCCAGCATGAGTTTGTAAATGCCTTGTACTTCTAGAAGAAAAACTTAAGCCAATTTTTGCTAGTAGCTAACGAAGTTAATAACAGAATACACTTCTTTTTCCTCTTAATTTTGGTCCCAGCTTCCAGATGGTGCTATTATGACAAGTCTTGTTTTACACAATATTGTATTCCATTTTTTCTTGATATATTTTTATTCTCTATTTTTCCATATATTGTCTTCATAAAAGATTATTTTTTTTCTATTATTATTATTTTGTTCTTCCAGTATTTTTACTAATCATTGTAATTGGAATGAATTAATTCGAAATTGGTTTATCGTGATATTTGTGAAACTTAATTTGAAACCGTAACCAAATTAGACAATCTTGAGTGATTAAGTAATAAATATATGAGATTTTCCACATAACCGTATCAGTCTGACATATTTGTAAAATTACTACTCCTAATATCTCCAATTATGCGAATTGATTATGACCAATAGGACTGTTTTTTATTTTTGTAGATGATGACAACCAGTGTGATATCACCGGATATTCCGATACCACCTTATTATCAGCAGTTTCATCAACATCAGCAATTACACTATCAACAAACCCCATCTGTGGCTCCGATAACCTTGACAATATCGAGAAATTCCCCAGTCCAAAACCAGTCTACTGTCACTGTTGCTCCAAGTTTGCCGTTGTCTTATCCAAAGGTTCAGACTGAAGCAGCTTTCTCCAGACAAGATTCAAGTGATTCTAGTTTACGGGCATCAAAGCGAAGGAGAGTACCTAATAAATTTTATGGTTATTCCAGTGATGAAGATCAAGATAAGGTACCTCAGCACGTTTCCAAGTGGAGAAAAACAGAGGTGAGTAGTTTTCCAGTAAAAAAAGGATATTCACATAACGGTCCATTTCACAGAGTCCTTATGAAACGTTTTATTTGTGGTAATGGAGTTAAAAAACAATACTTGTTTTTAGTTTTGAACTTTAAAATATCAAGACAACAATTATCAAATCAAAAAAGTTTGACGAAAGCAAATGAGCAATATTTGAAGTTTTTAATTTATTTTTGAGTGACTTGTTGTTTTCAATGAATTACCACCATGAAACAGTGTCAACAACCTTCAAACAAACACTGAAATGCTTTAATCGTTCATTCAACTGGCGGTGCTATGATAACTTTCTTGGGGACCTCCCAGTCATCCTTTTTTTGAGGCATGGAAACTTCAAAGAGAGGAGGTTGATTGTTGTCAGTAGTTGAAACTGGATGTTTTTTATATCAAACGTTATTGACTATTCAAATATGGCTGCCCGCGAGAAGTCATGTGAAGATGTGCCTTAAAAATCTTTTAAATGTTGGGCAAAACAAAGAGTTGAAGTTTCAGTGTGATTGATTACGTATGGAAATGTTTTCCACAGAAGTTGTATGGAATGTATGAATAATCATATGACATTAGATGAAACACTTATTATTTGTTGTGAAAATAGTGATAAGCTGCCTCAAACTCAAAGCTAGTCTTTAGACGCAAAATATTTCAAATTAATTAGTGATTAATTCATCAGCCTATGACAAAAGAAATTAATATTCTGAAGCCATTCATTCAAGAAAAAGATAAAAAATACGCTATGTTATTAGAAAATGAACTCCTGTTGAATATAAAATTAGTGTACTGATTAATAAAATCATTAATGGCTAAAGGATCAATGTCTATAAGAATACACCCGAAAAAATGGGAAACAAACAAATAGGAAGATTCCAAATGAAATCTCGAAATATGCTTTATTACCCAAGATTTGAACATCTTATTGGCAAAGTCTGGTAAAGTAAAACGTGTATAAAAACAATGCTTTGAAACAAGAGCAGCGTATATGGACAGAACAATATTAAGCTCAGTTGAACAGATACAAATATAAGTACATGAACATATGAATATAGAATAAATGTAAATATACACACATCGGAAAAGTCTAGGGATATTTTTAAAAATGGCAATAGTTTTTTTTAGATCGCTTTAGGGAAAAAAAAGTTGACGGGTGATTATTAAACGAATGTAACTTACAACAAAATTAACTTGATAAAAGATTAGTTACCGTTTTTGCAGGCTTTGTTCAACCCATAGAAATCTACAGTATGGTCGAGTGTACCAATTTAATCGAAATTAAATGACCTCATGCATTTATTTTTATGATATTTAGTATGTTATAAAAATATCCCTAGACTTTTCCGATGTGTGTACAATGCTACGTAATGAAAATTGATAGCCATTTTTCTGAATTTCTTTTCATTATGAATTCGTCTTAAATTCATGTGAAGGTAATTAAATAACTTGCTGCTATTGAAAATAATAGAATTTTGTGTGAGGGCTGGATTAGGTATTGGAAGGGAAATGAAGTAAGACTGATGTGTACTATATGTTGAGGTGGTAATAAATTGATTTTTATATTTTTTGTGGATAATAAATACTGTTTCCAAAATAAAAAGACATACTAAGGTGTCGTGAGACAGATATTCCTAATATTAGTTTTTTGGAGGAGTGATGCAGCTCTGCAACCAAATCCTGTATTAAGGAAGACGTATTTTCTGCTGTAAATAAAGGTCAAGAAAAACTTAAACTCTATACACATATTGACTTTGGAAATGACAACCTTCAACATCTCAGGCAAAAAAAGAAGACAGGCTGAAGTTGTCGGAAGGAAACCCAGGAAAACTATTGTTGGAAAAAATGAAGAATATGTTGAAAGTATACTCAAAAAGATGTATCTACATGTATGTACATTAGATCACCAAACAAAAACTCAATTTGAAAAAAAAATAATTTTCCTGAAGTTTAATGTGAACCACTAGGTTCCAGTTCGCCAACCCTCTATTCATCTTATAAGATAAGCCATGAACCCTGAACTGTGGCTTCTGATACATGCTTAAGTCGTTTTTTCGTGAAGCACAAGTGAATGCAATATTTCAACAGAAATCAAAAGTGAAAACTATAAAAAAAATATTTCAAATAAAATTTTGAAACATTCCATTCATCTCTCCCAACTACCTACACAATAAGATCTGGTAAATGTCTGTCGGAAATCAACTACTTCCCCGGCTGGATATAGAATTATATCCGATTGACATTTAAACAAGATACCTCACAAAGGTTAGTCTAGCAGATGTTCCGCGGTTTTGAGGTATTACCTCTAGTCAGTTCAGGAAAGATCCTACCCAGACAACAAAGTGTCTGGGTTTCAATTAATTTCAACATGGCTACATTACATATATGAAACCTTCATCTTGGCTCCTTCAAACAGCTCTATCTCGTGAACAAAGCCCCAACCGGAGAAGATACATCCCATGTACTAAAACTCTAACATAAATCAAAAGTGAAAACTATAGAGAAGAGATAGTTATGTATAAGAAAATGCATATTTCAAAAAAATTAAATTCCTGAAAGATGAGATAATTTGCTTTTCAAGTGTAGTACAGGACTCCAAAAAAGATTTTATTGAAAAAAAAGGATTTTTGAGATGTCCATTGAAAATCTTTCAGAAAATACAATACATACAATATACAAAGTCTACCTGTACAATTGGTATTCAGACAAAACCAAAAAATATGCAACAAATTGGTACACAGACTACACGAATGCATCTATGTCTTTAAAAACAGACAGCAAAATGAATGATTTGAGATGTCAAGTAGTGGACATAAGGAAGGACATATCTCCCAAGCCAATTGAGTCCCAAGTTCATATTTCCTCTAATAACTTCACATCAGATAAACGAAAAATACTATTTCTAACAGATCATCATAGGAAAGGGCTCACCGAATGTGCTAATAATCAAACGAAAATGTTCAGTGTACTCTCTCTTGTGAAACCTTATTCAGATAGTAATGAATTGGTGAGTACAGCTCTTCAGAATAACAAATTTCACTTAACGAAATATAGTTGTACTATGGACTGAGAAATCACATTACTGATTAATCAGTACATTACTTATTAAACCACTAGAACACAAAAATATACTTTGATCCATTCATACTGGGGGCTATGCATGTAACAGCTGTCTGGATACATCATTTCTACTGAAATATCTAAAGATGTATGAAAATAAATCAACATTATTCAAGAAGTTGAACACTAAAAAGAAACAATCATGTGCTGCAGTGTAATTACACACTGAGAAATAACAATTATCATGAAAATAGACATTATATAACAAAACTGGGAAAATGGTTTCTTGGGAAATTCATGATGAAGCCGATATTACAGATTTTTTTTTTATTCCTTAAATACCTCATCTATTACAACACAAGAAACCATAAGAGATTCTATGAATCAACCTGAATTAAAAACCAGCAATGATACTTTTTTGTAGACTATAAAATAGCAGATATCTGCACGAAATAGTATCATTTACCTTGGTTTCTTATACTCATGAAGGAAGATTGTACAAAAGCAGAGATCAAAAAAATCTGTTTATCTGTTAAAATCTCTTTTCCGTTAACCAGCTGTCGCCCCCTTACCAACGACAAATCTTAAAAGTCGAAACTAGTGCGAGCTAAGGACTAACGAGATCTTACCTTTTAACATGTAATTCCTAACACGGGTTGGACGATAGGAAGTGAAAATTGATCGTCCAGCATTGCAGTTCGAACCATCTTTATTTTTCTTTTGACATGATTGAACACGTATAGAAATCGTCAGGTACATAGAAAATAGCATATGTAATAATAGTAAAAGTAATACATGTTATTAAAATAAGACAGTAAATAGTCACGTTTATAATAAAATTGAAATATATAACTTTCATTTATATATACACACGTATGCACAGATACACGCACACATATACATAATCTACATATACATAAGAATGTTTGCAGCGCTACTTCAAAAGGAACTCCTGTATCATGTAGGGATTTTTGTTGATTGAAAATCTTTTTAATAGAAATATACATTTTCTCAGGCACCCTGTTTCCCTAATCTCTTGTGGAAGATTATTAAAAAGTTTTGGTTCCAGGTAACAAGCAGAGTTTTCTGTCACCTTGTACTTATAAAATGGAATACAACATTTGTCTTTATTTTGCCTGGTATTAATGCTGTGAATATTGACATTCAAAGTAAAGTATTTTCTATTATTAAATACATAAATGCATAGCTCTAAAATAAATAAACTTACTGTTGTTCAAAGTCTGAAGTGGGAAAAGATATTTTTGCATGAGTATGTACAGGTTACTCTAGCAATGAGTCGCAGAATCTTTTTTTGTACCGAGAAAACATCTTGTGCTAGTGTGGATCAACCCCAAAGGAGGATCCCATATCGAAATTTTAAAGCCACATGAGCATGATATAACATGAGTAATTGTTCACATGTGAGTACTTCTCTGAGCTGTTGAAACACAAAACAAAGAGAATTTAACTTTCTAATCAGATTATTACAGTGGGATTTCCAGTTTACACAATCATCAATTGTGATGTGGAATTGGCCGCGGTGGTAGTACGCCCGACTCACGATCGGAAGATCGTGGGTTCGATTCCTGCCTCGACCAGATATTTTTCTCGAGAGAATTTATCTGGTTGAAGCTGGGATGATTCTGCAATCATGTTAGGAATCACACGTTTAAAGGTAAGACCTCGTTAGACCTTAGCTCGCACAAGTCTCTCAACTTTTGAGAGTTGTCGTTCGTATGGGGGCAACAGCTGATTAACGGAAAAACAGATTTTAAACAGATGCCTAGAAATGTTGCTTTGTCAGTGTAACTTAATTTTTTATTGCTAACACTAACTGTTATATTAGAAATATTTTTCTGAACGTGATGATACCTCATAATATATGTTTTCTCAGTATTAAAGAAAAGTGAATTTGCGCTACACCATGAAGTTATGTTACTCAATAATCGCTCACACTCCTCAGCAATAATATCATCTGCTTTATTCGAGATCAGTATGGATGTATCATCCGCGTAAATAACAAAGTGTGCATCTTTAGCTAAAGTGCCAATTTTGTTGATATAAAAAAGGAACAGAATGGGCCCAAGTACTGAGCCTTGGGGAACTCCCATATTTATATCAAGACTGTTTGATTCAGCCGTTCTAGACTGTTCATCATTAGTCTTAATACTGACATATTGTTGACGATTACTCACAAAAGACATTATCCAATCAAGAGCAACACCTCGGATGCCAGAGGAATATAGTTTATAAAATAGAATATCATGCTGAACGCAGTCAAACGCCCTGCTGAAATCACAAAAGATTCCAACCGGGCATTCCCCGGCCTCCAAAAAATGAATAACCTTTTTGTAAAATGCTAAGGTGGCACTGTTAGTCCACTTCATTTGGCAAAATCCATGTTGATTTACAGAGATCAGAGCATTACTCTCAGTAAATTCCATCAGTCATTCCATAAAAGCATACTCAAAAATTTTTGAAAAGCTAGAAGGCACGGTAACGGTAATAGTTTATTTGATTGGTACGAATTTGCCAAGTTTCAGATTGCTTGGAAAACACCCTGTCAGAAATGAAATATTTATCGGGTAAGTTAATGGTTCGATGATGTAACTGAGTGATTCTGGATAATGAACATTGGGATGTCATCAGGCCCTGAAGAAGACTTATTCTTCAATTTTCTTCGAAGAAGAGATAATAATTCATCACAAACAAAAGGATTAAGAAATATTGAGCTTTGGTGAATAGGTCGAAAATTGAGATTTGAGTTTAAAGCATGTGAAGTGGATCACCCTTGCAAATCACCCTTATCTACCCACAAGGCTACCGTCCAAAGTCATTACAAAATTAACTGTTGAATGAGAAAATGAAATATGTGCTGTAGATACTTTATAAAATATTGTTATATTGTATATAGATCACCAATGTATTAACACAGGCAGTAGATGTAGTTTCTGGTTGTTCCGATGTCAAATTTTCCAATTGGGCACAAAAATTGGAGTTCCTATGTTGCACAGGTAGAACTGTTTTTTGTTGCAAATTATACTAATAATGATGTTAAAACAGCAGTTGGAGCTGAAACGTTTGCATTCATGACAGATTTATGTTGTCCCAATGACTTTTTCATATACAATACAATTAATAAATCTTAGACAATATAATTGGATGTGAAATAAATTAAAAAAAACGGGTTTTTCAAACTGGCAATTCACATTGCAATATTTTAACAATCTATGACCTCTATTTTTTAGAGTGCTCATGTATTCATGGAATTTAATGGTATAATTTCTCAATACATATTTAATTTTAAAACATTACAAATTGTAAAAATGTTGATTTCAGTGAATTTTAGAATAAGAATAAAATAAGTTGCAATATAATTAGATGATGTAATAAAATAAACATAATGTTGGACATATATAACTCAGCATGCTGATAAGGAAAATTAATATAACAAAGTGTGTGCATAAAAATTACAGAAATATGTTTTGTTTCAACTTAAGAGGTCGATGTTACAGTATCGTTAAATATTCACTTCAGTTTCAATGATGAAATGAAAAGTTCAAATGTAATTACAGGTACCCCAGACTCCGACGTCACCTATGGTTGTTCCACCAATAACCATTAAAACAATTCCTCAAGAACCAGCGCCTCTACCCCAACCTACAGTTGAACCTATCTCAATTCGAACGGGTACTCACCTCAGTGATTTTAGAGTCCAAAGGCCAAGGCCAAGACCTACCATCCCCCCCATACGGCTGCTGAGCCGCGGTCCTGATGAAAAAGATAGTGATAGTGACTCAAATGACTCCAGTTCAGAGGAGCAAGCTGTACTACCGCCAAAACCTGCTCAACCGCAGCTCTACTGTTATTGCCAATGTCCTTATGACGAGGTATCTGAGATGATAGGTTGCGATGCTTCTGACTGTGCAATCGAATGGTTTCATTTTGAGTGTGTCGGCATTATGGTTCCCCCAAAGGGTCAGTGGTTCTGTCCGGACTGTAGAAAAAAGAAAGCTAGGCGGGAGCTGATGCAGAATATGAAGAATTAGAGCTTCAGATTTGCTTCTTCCTAATTTGTGAGTATTTTCAAGTGATAATAAATATAGGTGTACCAAGGGAAGGTGTTAGAGATTGGAGGACTTGTTTAAAATCAGTAAACTCCATTTTAGTGAACTTGATTCAATTTTCCAAATATGAATTTTTTTAGTTTCCGTTTTTCTTTCAAGAATAGTTTTTTGTGAATGGTATATAATTCATCTCGTTTCAAAATTAGATTGAAGCCACGGTTCAGACCCCCCATGTCAAAATAGAAAAATCAATTGCAGTAATTACAAAGACTATTATTCAGTAGAAATTCTCATGTATTTATTATAGGTGTGCTATTATTTTTTCTGTAACTTCAAGTTGCGCCAATTGTAATCAGAACATCAGAATACTTAAAAAATATTTTTTCAATAAACTTTTTTTTTCAGAATCACGGAAGTGGAAGCCGCCTTCACTTGTTTATATTGAGATTTTTTCCTATACTTTCAACTTCAGAAGTATACTAGTTCATTACTGGTCCATTGTATTATTGAGGAATTAGTGTTGAACACAAAATGGAGTGAACTCAAAGAGAGGATATTTGGGAACTAAATTACTGAAAGAACGGTTTTGGTTTTTCATACAAATGGGAAAGTTTTAATATAAAGGTTGAGGGAATATTATTCACATTGCATCCTAAAAACTAGGTGATCGCCTATAGTGTTGAGGTAGTATTCAAAAACACTTCATTGTGAGATTATTCACTAAATAGTTTAACAAAAACGCGACACACGCGACACTTGTTTCGCAATACAATAGCCTCTTCAGGCGTGTCCAGGCGTGTATATACACACTCGAAGAAGCTATTGTATAGCTAAACAAGTGTTGGGTTTTTGTGAAAGTGTTCAGTGAAAATTTCAAAATGAAGTGTTTCTTGAATATTATGGATTTCATCAAGTATCCGCCGATTCCATTACATATCTTTAGGTAGAATTATTCATGCGAACAAAATTTTTTTACTATTAATTTCACTGTTGATCATTCTAATTACATCATTCATAAACAAAAAATTAATTAATCTCTAAACACATTGTCAAGTAGGAAAGCCCTTTTACCTTCATGTACTCATTACTTCTTTAGGGACTTGATACATTGTAAGTTGAAAATAATCTCTAACATGTAGAGAATATAAAAAAAAATAGTTCATAACAGAAAGTAATATTGATTGTTTGTGTTTAGACATATTTGGTAACAAATTTAGAGGCAAGTTGCATAATAAACATCACAATGTTTTATTTTCTACCTAAGCGCACTGGTTAATAGTCGAAGTTTGGTGGTCGAATGAGAAACTGGTGCAACAAATCCTTCTTCATATACTTTCAATATTACCTGTTTTCCTCAATTTTTATGGGTTTGTTGATGTGACATACAAATTTTCACTTAATTGTATGTTTTCGAGTAGTATCTTCATCAGTTTTTAGGATGTGGTGTGCCCCTATATATAGAATATGTGGAAAGCAAGGTGTTCAAAAAAATTGAACAAAGTGGAAACAGGTTCCTTCTTTTAAAATTTGCTTCATTTCTAATCTGTTCGACATTCATTTTAACTGATTCTAATGCAAAACTTAGAATAACTTGTTCAGTGCTATATTAAAATTTTATCGAATTATATCTCGAAAATGATCAAAGTTTAAATATTCATTATGAGCATTCTGAATACCAACTCTGCAGCATCAAATGAATCACAGCAAATTTTATTGATGAATTCCCATAAGTTGAGGAATATCTTGTTTTGAAAACACACTAGGAAAACCAGTTTGAGAAAAGCGGCCTGTTTTCACTTTAAGTGAGCAGGAACGTCCGGTTTAGTTGTAAATATAGTATAAAAATAATATAGGTATTTGTATATATTTATAAATAGTGAATTCTTAAAACATTGTGATTATAAGTTAATGAAATGCAGTTATTTAATTTTTTTAGGGTAAGTTCTGTATTGTCTTGCGTCATACTTTTTGAATCATGTAAAACATATATAATTGAATAGTGTTATGATAGATTGCCAAATTAGTGTTGTACACAATTGTAAATATTTGTAATTTAGGATGTTGCTCTGTTCTCTTCCAACAAAAGTTCATTTTGTTAGAATTGGAGCTGAAATATACTCCTGTATGCTTTCAGAACTCTTTTTGTGTATATCTTTTCTGATATATCAATAAAAAATATAAAATGAATCTTTGGAGTAACATTGATAGTTTTTAATTCAGATTTATTCACGGGGTGTTTGAATTCAGGTTTTCTAATAAGTTTCTATAACGAACTTTGCTTAATAACTAAAAAATATTTTTTCTGGAGAAGTCAAGAAGTGCTCTAAAAACATATACTTGGGTCGTAGAAGTCATATATAAACGGACATTGTCGAAATTTTGTACAATCCTTCATTTTCTTTAATTTTCGTCATAGAAATGCCAAAAATGTATTTCCTTTCATTTAGAGTATGCTCTTTACAAATACAGCTGCCAAAAAATTACACCATACACACAATATGGATACTTCTGAATCAAATGTATTCACATAAAGACAACTAATTGCATGTACTTCAAAAATAAAGAACTATTTGCCTAAACAACCATGGTATCCTGTTACTACAAAATTGTCAAAGTGTTCCTTACTTATTTTTCAATAAAAAAACAACACTTTATTTCACTTCATTAACTAACAGCAGTAGATTTTGTAACAGGTTAATAAAATGCGAGGATGAATGTAACATATAGAAAAAACATGAACAATGACAGCACACACATGATTGAAGATTGAACAGTTAATTCCATTACATATCTTTAGGTAGAATTATTCATGTGAACAAAATTTTTTTACTATTAATTTCACTGTTGATCATTCTAATTACATCATTCATAAACAAAAAATTAATTAATCTCTAAACACATTGTCACTTCATGAACTCATTACTTCTTTAGGGACTTGATACATTGTAAGTTAAAAATAATCCCTAACATGTAGAGAATATAAAAAAAAATAGTTCATAACAGAAAGTAATATTGATTGTTTGTGTTTAGACATATTTGGTAACAAATTTAGAGGCAAGTTGCATAATAAACATCACAATGTTTTATTTTCTACCTAAGCGCACTGGTTAATAGTCGAAGTTTGGTGGTCGAATGAGAAACTGGTGCAACAAATCCTTCTTCATATACTTTCAATATTACCTGTTTTCCTCAATTTTTATGGGTTTGTTGATGTGACATACAAATTTTCACTTAATTGTATGTTTTCGAGTAGTATCTTCATCAGTTTTTAGGATGTGGTGTGCCCCTATATATAGAATATGTGGAAAGCAAGGTGTTCAAAAAAATTGAACAAAGTGGAAACAGGTTCCTTCTTTTAAAATTTGCTTCATTTCTAATCTGTTCGACATTCATTTTAACTGATTCTAATGCAAAACTTAGAATAACTTGTTCAGTGCTATATTAAAATTTTATCGAATTATATCTCGAAAATGATCGAAGTTCAAATATTCATTATGAGCATTCTGAATACCAACTCTGCAGCATCAAATGAATCACAGCAAATTTTATTGATGAATTCCCATAAGTTGAGGAATATCTTGTTTTGAAAACACANAAACTGAAAAGTTTGCCCTTCAACACTTGTATAAAGTTCTCCATTATAATTTTTATATTTTTCAGATTGTGGAAGGTAACAAATACCCAAAAAAAGGTCGATAAAAACATTATCACGTTTCGGAAAGATCTCATTAGCCATATGTGCTGTTCTGCTTGGTAGCTGAACTTGAACTGAAGTAATCCTTGCTGATGCACGCTCCCTCCGGCCAAATATCTGAATTTATCACCGTTCTGAAGTGGTCGTGGAAAGTTGTCACCTTGAAGGATGAGTGTTGGGCTGCCTTGGGGCTATTGATTCACATTTGGCTTCAGGAAAATGTTTTGTTAAATCTGCACAGAGAATATCCGCTATTATCTCACAGTCTATCCTTGAGTAAAGTAATGAGCTTTGTGACTCATTTAATGGTTGTTTTTTGGCTATTTCCTCTTATGATTTGTTTTTTGTTATTCTTTCTTCTGCGTTGTACTTTTTCCAGTCGTCTTGTGGTTGATTCTTCGACATACCAGTTGAACTACTTTTTTTTGTTAATTATTTCAGTTGTGTTTGAACATTGATATCCGCCACCACTTTTTTATCCTCAATTAGGATTCCTGTTTTTTTGTATGTTACTGAGGTATAGTATATACGAAGTCGATTCGAATGACGTAATAAAACTAAATAGTTACCGAATGTCGATACGGCTGTCATACTCTGAGTGAGAGGTTAGATATTCATAGAAGGTCTAATCATTATTTTTATGTGGGTGGTTTTATATGGTATTATTAGACCCGGTCCTTAGTCTTTTATTTAGCTGTTCTGATTGAATTCGTACAGACAATACCACTCGTTACTTGGCAACAGAAATGCGATGAGTGATATAATTTTTGTTTTTTACGTCTGATTTGTCTTTGTTTGTAGAGACTGTCAAAGGTATATACTATAAAGTCACAAACATATTCAGAAAACACTTTCACTAAATGTTTAGTGAAAATCTCACAAGAAAGTGTTTTTAAATACTTTAGTTACGGATTTTCATCACGTATTGGCCAATTCGTATAAACCACATTTGGATTACATGGCATCTCAGGCACTACGAATTATGGTATTATTAATGAGAAAAAGTGCACATTTCAATGACATTAAAGCGATTATTACACATAATTTGGTCAGACCTAAATTTGAATATGGGCTTTTTAATGTGGCATCCTTTCCATAAAAATAGACCAGAAAAATTCAAAACAGATTTCTGAGACATTTATATTACAAAAATTATAAAGTATACCTGGACTATAATACAGTTATCTAGATCAGTAGCACTACGAAATGAATTTAAAATAATCAGTCTAGAATATAGAAGACTGGCAAGTATAGTGTTGATGTGCTACAAAATATATAAATATAACTGCCCCAATCTCGAATCTTTACTTTAACCGAGAATTCCCAAAAGAACAAGACTTATTCAGTTCTGTGATGTACCATATGTATCAACAAATAACTGTTACTATCATTACAATAATCGAAATAATAACTTCCTGTTAATGTCAGATATCAACTTTGTAAACTTTTCAAGCTTAGAATAACTTTCTTTGTGTTTGTTCCTTCCATTGGGCTTTGTGTAGTAGCTACTTCTAGATACAATGTAATTGTATTCAGATATTAGAATTCTATTTATGATTTGCTCTTAGACTGTATTGACACTTGTTATACAAATTATTATTTTCATGTAATGAAGTTTTTACCTGTTTGAGAATAAATAAATAAATTTTGGCTTGAGAAGAGTAGACGATTTCATCGATTTTTGAGTTTTTAAATCAACCGCAAGAACATAAAGCAAAATATTTTTCATGGATTTCAAAAAGACTAAAAGGATTGTACAAATTCCGGTTTCCGGGTTTTTTCGTGGTATTCTTTGTTAACAATCTCCAAACGTTTCAACTGCAACTGTGGCAGTCATTTTCAGTGGTGTGGTCGAAGTACTCTTATTGACGTATCAACAAAATTATATGGTTATTCAACTCGTAATAGAAAAAAACTGCCAGTACAAAAGTCAAACTAAAAGAGAACAAATATAGATACTGTATCCCTAAGTACTTGTAAACACAAAACAAAAAAACACATTTAAGTTTTATGACCCTGTAGCCTGGCTCTATACTATACAGTAAACTCACTGCACATATTTATCATATACTTGTAGTTGGCGATTTTCAGCCATTATCTCTCTGTCTGTTACTCCTGATTTAAAATATGACATGTTAATCAAACTACATTTTCAGATATGTATGTATACACAGTTGAAGTATTAATTTAAACTGCCTATTCATTTCATTCGTATATTGCTCACAAAAATTGTTTTGACTTTTATTATTGAGATAATTTTGAAAATCCTTGTAAATATGAACAGAATACCTTGGTGTGAAAATCTAACGTCTTTATGTCTGATAGTTGTTTGACTACACTTGGCAAATGATGATACATTATCATTCCATTCAATACTTTCAAATCATTTTCTTTCAGTAGTCTCCTCCCACTATGATGTTTATATGACAGACGATTTCTCCACTGCATTCGAAATTGTTTCAAATGACCTTCTTCAGACATTTAAGTTTATACCATTCATCAAGTATACTTATTTGCCAGTGCACCTGAAGGTGTAGGAGGCACTTTTTTAAAAATTTCTTCTGTACCTATAGGTGTAGTGAGCATTGAACGTGTCAAGTATTGGAACATCCAGCACGCATTTTAAGTAAAATACTCATATAACCCTAAAGGATGAGAGCTAATGTCAAAGGTACCCTTTGTTACAATAATAATAATAAATCTTTATTTTCCTTTGTATGGGAATTGTCAAGCCTAATAAGGGTTGTTAAAAGTATTAGAAAGAAAACTAAAGTCTAAATTTAAGATAAGGCATTCACATACATACTAATACCTAAGCCTTGAATCAATTTGGGTGTAGTAAATTGCCAGTAACTGTGCACTGTTGTGAAAATTTCAAAGATTAAAAAAAAAAAATTCAAGAAATTCATTTTGCCCATTAGTTCATTATAATAGATTTTCCAACTCAAAAATTAAAATCTAAATATACCCCAAGAAATTTGATAGATTCTCGAGTGTTTGTTAAAATTGTCTGATTTACTCTAAAATCTAGATTTTGTATTGATTTCTGACGATTGTGGAAACGTACTACCTCTGTTTTTTCCGTATTGAAAAATAAAGAAGATATATTATTCATCACAACACTACATTTACCATTTAATAAATTAGTGTCAGGTGAAGACAGGTAATGATAAATCATGTGTGTAGGCAGAGTGATGACAACTTTTTAAATGCAATAAATCTGTACAAAATGAACAATACGGGTCACAAGACGGAAACCTTGTGGGATACCCAGACATTCAGATTTTCTATTATATTTTGTATTATTAGTTTATTCGTATAAATACATATTGTTTCCTGTCCGCCAGAAATGATTCAACACATTTCTGTGGGAGACCCCTCTAACCATATAGTTCTAAGTTTCTTCAAGTTGGAACTAGAATGAGCGACATATCCATCAACCCATTTTTTGCATTTATTTTTATGATAAGTGCGACTGAGAAAACAAATCAAAATTATATAAACACA